TCAAAATCATTTCCAGTCTATGGAGTGGGTAGTATAATATTTACATAACATCAAAGAGTACCAGTGAACAGTTATACCTGAGAGGAGTTCCCAGGTAACACGGTATGCAGTAACTCCACTCATACCCCTCCAAATCACCAGCATCCCTTGGGAGGAGATGTCCTGGGCATTCAGTTGTTGCAATCCTGCCAAATTCACTGAAGATAGAGAGAGAAAAGCCAATCGAGATGAGCAGAAGGATGTTTCAACTATCTAATTATCAATAATCCTAGAACCCAAATCTACCTGAGCCATATTTTCTCACAGAATTCATATATTTAAGCAATCATACTTCAAGTTTATGAAAGGCAAAGGCATGATTTCCCTATTTCAGTTATGAAGTTATGGATGCTTTTATGGCTGTACTAGCCAATAATACCCATAGCCAGTATCTTTATAGTGGACTATAAAGACTACTAAAAGAGTTCCAGATAAAGACAAAAAAGTCCCAATCCTGGCACCTCACATTTCTCAAAGCCTACTTCATGTATAAAATAAACACTGGAAAGCCTATAGTTCCTTAGGTGCCTAATCAGGGCCGGATTTAACAACAGGCAAATCGGATTATAGGTAGTCCTTGGATGTCAACTGCTTGTTCGGTGAACAGAGTTATGATGGTCCTGAATAAGAAGAACTTATGAAGAGTCTTCAAAGTTGAGGCTGTTGCAGTCGGTCACATGATCATGATTCAGGCACTTGGCTTGCAAAACAGTTACAGTGTCCCACAGTTGTATGTGCGCCATTTGTGGCCTTCCCTGCTGGCTCCCCACAAGCAAAGTCAATGGGGAAGCAGGCAGGAAGTTGCAAGTCATTCCTACAAGTCTCTCCCACTGCCACTTTTTCGCCTGCCTCTCTACCTGTGCTCTATAGTGTCTGCCTATGGCACTGCCTGCCTGGACCCTGTAATGGCCATCCACGGTACCCATCTGCCTATGCCCCATCACTTCTGCCCACAGTACTCATTCATCAGCACCCCATTGTGCTTGGCTGAAGCAGCTGCCCACCCATCCACACACCGTAGTGCCTGCCCATGGTATGCACCCACCCATCCACACTCCGTAGTGCTTGCTGTGGCACCTGCCCGCTCTCTGTAGTATCTGTTCATGGCACCTTTGATCCTCCTGCACTCTGTAACATCTATCCAGGCTAATCAGAGCTAATTCCAGGAACAAGGCTCTGCTTTCTTAATTTAGGCAACACTTACGTGTTCGGCTATGAACTACAGCAGGCACTATTGTGTGATGTGGGAAGATTGGGTACAATGTTATCACATAGTCAGTGTTAGGTTGAAGGTTGCTGAGCAAGAACGAAGTAGAACTGGCATCAAGATTCACTTCTTCAGCTTGAGCTTCACCTTATAGGAGGAAAAACAAAGATAATTTTAGAAATGTACATTAAAAAGTTATGAGAAACATAAAAGATCACCGGATAGTGCAACTACTTTAAGAATGCCAAGAAAATTACAGCTCAAATTCTTATTGGGACTTCATTCTTGATTTCTTAACATTGAAAATTAAAGACTGAATTATATCACTAATTCAGGAAAACAAAATTATTGATAAATGAGGGTTGCTTCTTTTTAAAACTGTCTTCCCCAACCTTGTATCTTCCACAAGTTTTCCAGCTACTCCAGCATTCTGGGAAATGCAAGTTGAGAGTACTTGTAGTGGTTAAAGCACCAAGCTAGAAACCGAGTGACTGGGAGACTGCGAGTTTTAATCCAGCCTCTGGGTGACCGTGGGTCAGTAACTCTCAGCCCCAGGAAAAGGCAACAGCAATTAACTTCTCCCAAAAAAATCTTGCCAACAAAGCTACAGAGACCTTGGCCAGGCAGTTATCAGAAGTCAACAGTGACTTGAAGGAAACGCACACAGTTGACCAGAGCCACATGGTCATTTTGATTCAGAGCCAAAAGTGAGGGAGAATATCCATTCTCTTGCTGGACCTTGTCTTAATCTCTCTAATCCATTTTTCCTCTTTTTCTTACTTTATTTCCTTCTGATACTCTCTTCTATCTTCCCCCAATAGCAGATTGAAGAGACGAGACAGATACTTCACAGAAATCTGAACTGATCCTTTCTGGGAGCTTTGAAAAATTAAGCCACATGCTATATGGAACTAGGCTATAGGCTGTAGGTGGCTCTAGGACTGAAAGTTGCCCACACACTTCTTTGCTACAGGAGTCCAGCTTACACGTATCTCCGGACTGGGCTCAGTTGCTTTCCACTTGATCCCATGTACACCTCAATCCTCTATTTCTGAGTATTTAGTATTGCATGGAACATGTATCTCTAACTGCTGAACAGGGAATGGAGATTATTTTAGCATAGGCCATTTTTAATCTAAAGTACTGTAGATTAGAAGAACTATCTAGAGACCACTGGCAGACAAATGACACCCCCCCTTTTTTTTTTTTTTTTGCACAAACTTTCTTTCTGACTGAGTCACAGCAAGCAAAGCAGCAAGCAGAAGCAACAGTTGGTGGTGATCTCATCAACATTCATTTTGGTGCCCACAGGGCCAGAATTCTCTGCTAGGCAGATAAATTCCCTTGGCAGCAGGTGTGGCCAGACATTGGGTGGGTGAGGCACTGGGAGAGTTGCCAGGCTATAAGCACCAGCATGGCTGCAGGCTGGGGTGAGGCAGCTCCAGGTGCAGCTTCTGCCAAGCACATCACAAACAAGTCGTAGGTGAATATTCCAGTAGGGTCCACTTCCCCAAGCCTGGACTTTCTTGCCCAGGAAACCCTGGATTCTGGTAATTTGATAATTACAGTGATGTTTGGGAGCAGCTAGGGAACATTGAAAATTAAAGGATAAAATTATCCTCTCCCCAAATCAATCTTTCTGCTCTTTTTAAAAAGCACTCTGACTACTCAGAGCAATCCTCAACAAACAAAAGCTGTTACAGGACTGGGAAGTGCAGTGTGGTTGTCTTCTTCTCAGACAATGTGCTCCATTCTGCTGAAGGACTCACTTTTCTGCTAGACTGCAAGCTCACCAGAAACACAGCAATTCCTCTTTTCCCCTTATCCCTGTGAATCAGGAGATGGAAAGCTACCAATGAGGTTAAGGGGAAGCTGCAGCACCAGCCATGTACTTCCAGTTCAGCTCCAGGATTTCCTGAAGCAACTGAATTATTTGCTTGTTGAGTAAAGAATCTTTTCTGAAACTTAGCACTTTTAATCCCAAAGATCACCCCCCCTGTCAAGTTTTACACTGACCTCTAGCCACATAAGTGAGCCTGTAGCCTTGTAGGGCTTCATTCCGATCAGCTGCCCAGGATAGTCTGAGGAAAAATGGTCCAGTTTCTAACACCCGAAAATTTGTCACTCCAGTCAGCATCTCTGCAAGGAAAACAAAGAATCAATGGGGTGGGTCCTTCACATTCACATGAATTCCAGACACATTGTGTTACAGGAGAAGTTATACTAATAGGAATCTGCAGAGTCATTTTAACTCACAGTGGAATGAGCTAAATGAGCAAAATGGCAAAGCCATCTCCAGCCAAACTCCCTTCAGAGTTCCAGGAATACAACACCTGTACTCCAGCCAATAGGTTGCTTGGAACAAATGAAAGCTGTAACCAGTGGTGCAATTCAACCAGTGTAACAATCGGTTCGGTGAGCGTGCGCTTTGCGCACATGCTCTACATTTAAAACAACCCATTTTCAACTCAATTACTTACCTTCTGCTGCATCTTCAGTGAGTGAAACAGCTGATGCACGGCAAACCGCTCTGCCATGCGAATCAGCTGTGCTAAAAAACACCCCAGGAAATAAAGCACAGGAAAGAGCAGGAGTGAGTGGGCGGGGCCAAATGCTCAACAGAACTACTGGTTCGCCCGAACCAGTCCGAACTGGTAGAATCCCTCCCCTGGCTGTAACCCCAACATTCTGGTGGGATAATGGTTGCAAAACGCCCCCCCTGCATTGTAAGGTTATGCCGGCAACTCATTTAAAAATGGTACAGGATAATGAACAGGTTTTATAAAAAGAGTATTACAGAACAACCTTTCTTCCTAACTTCAGACAGTGAAAGTTATAAAAATGGTGCAGACAGACATGTGTGAGAAAAGAAAATCCTTGAACACAAGGTCCAAAGTTATACAGGGCTCTAAAGATCAATCTCAGGACTTTGACTAATACTAATAATGGACCTGTAGTTAGTGCAGTAGTTTCAAAACACACATGAAGTGTTTCCTGGGGCCAGCCCAATAGCAGCCTAGCTGTAATAATGTGAGGTAGCTATATTGGGGGAAAATATTTTGATGGGGATGGAACACATTGACAAATTAATGCATTTTTTTAATACGCAGTCATTTTTGAGCTGAGCATAACTCCTGATGACATACATGGAGGTATACATTCAGATTTCTTGGCATGATACCTAAATAAAGACATCTTCAAAGGTAATATAGTTCCCTGTAAGAATGTACCAGGCAAGTGCCCGGGGTTTGGAAAAATGCAGCCAAATTTTAGGAAAAGAGATGGTGAGTGCATACCTACCCTATCTTGGAGGCTATTTGGGACTCCAATGCCACATTGGAAAAGAACTTAAACTTCTGTATTACCAGGGTTGTCCAGAAATAAATTCATGACAATATCAGACTTTTTATTCAGTTTTTTATTGGCTTCCCAGAAGATAGCTATGAACTTATTCAATTCACCAGCTTTCTGTCTCTGCAAACAAAAAACTGTGGCTATATCCTAGACTATAGTATTACACAGAAACTACATAACTGTAAATTCTACATATTATACATGACAAGACTACACAGACACACTCAAAGAAGCACAAATGGGAGTTTATACCCAGGAAATCTGAAGGCACCAAATTTTGGAATTATTTGGGAGGAATTTTAAAAGGAAATGTATCAAGAAATGTCAAATAAATTACAGAATCTCAATATTACTCACGTGTCCGTCCTTTGCCAGAAACCGATTCTCCAATGCGGTTGGCATACTGAGCTATAACAGTGACCAGGTAATCTGTCCCACTTTTCAAGCCACGGAGTACAGTGCTTGTCTCACCAGATCCCACACTGACCTGTTTAGTATCCAGAATGGATCTGTTATCACTCATTAACATTAGGACTTTATGTAAAAATAAAAATCTCTTATAGGAGAATAATAAAAAAGAAAAATACTTTATTCATCTTACGTTTACTGCATATTGCTTGCAAATCATTTAACACATGTAATGTTCATCTTATACTACTTGCAAATTGTATCACATGTTCATCTCTCATTCCTTGTACTAAAGTGTTGATCGCAATTTATTAGACAGAAGTGTTGCTTAAAACAACTTTAGACAGAATAACAGATGATTGAAGCAAGGCCCAAATTCGTCAAATTACCACTCCCCAAGTTAGTCTCTTCTATTCTAAATACTTTCATATTCACACTCACAAACAAACACAAGAAAATGACAGCTCTGTTCTCCAGCCAAAAGGACTTTAAGTAATAAGAATTGGATGGCGGACAAAGGAATCTGATGGGGTAACTGGCTCAAGAAACAAGTTATATTCTTAAAAAGATCAAGTGATGAGACAACTCCCTTAGAATGCAGGGCGGACACTGGACAGTTCAGCCTTTTTGATAAACAAAAAAATCAATATTATTATGTCAACTATAACAATGTGTGTCAACTAAAAGAACGCTCTGGAACATGGGCTAGTCTGAAAACAGACAATGTTAGTTAGTATTTAAGTTGTTTTAATTTGGAGGGGGAATGTGATTAAGATATCACGACCTTGATAATGTACCTGCCACCTCTTTTCAGGCCAGAAAGGGCCTTACCCCTGCATTAGTTGTATCCATAATATTTTATCTGGGAAATGTCACCCCCAGAACACCACAAAACATTTCCTATTCCAGAAGTTTCATATATTCATTCTATAAACTGCTATATCAGCCCCAGAATGGATTGACTAATGTGGTCTTGGAAGAAAAATAGAACAATTCAGAATTATCCAAAAATGAATGTTTTGCACATATACATCTGCCACATTAAAACTGATCTGAATTATAGTTGAACATAGCTAAATTTGCCTCCAAGAAAGCATGAGGATTGCATCATGAAAAGTACTCACCTCCTGCCTTTCTGACATGATTTGTTGCCCCAGGCCATTCAAAGGTACATATTGAATTTTATATCCAATTACAGGACCACCAGCTGCTGTCCAACGGATCCTTAGCATGTCTGTTCCTTGTTCCATGAAAGCCAGGTTGGAAGGACCATTGTAGGCACCTGATGGGGAAGGGAATCAGAGCGGATAACATAAATCAGGTTTCTTGTTGACACGTACCATTCCAGACAGTTATGGACATGGAAAGAAAAGGCTAAGCATTTCAGAAAAACTGAAAGGATCTATCAAATGAAGAGTGGCAGCATTGACATCAGTGGAGCCTGGGGCCTGCAATGGAAATATAGAATGCTCTCCATATGCTGGGTCACGTTAAATCAACAATAAGATGAGATCAGATAACAGAGATAACAGATCAGATCAGAGTTGGAAGGGACCTTGTAGGTCATCTGGTCCAACCACCTCACCCAAGTAGGAGACCCTACACCATTTCTGACAGATGCCTGTCCAGTCTCTTCTTGAAAAAATTCAGTGATAAAGCATCCACAACTTCCAAGGGCAATCTGTTACATTGGTTGATTGTTCTCACTGCGGAAAGTTTCTCCTTATTTCCAGGTTAAATCTCTCCTTCAGTTTCCATCCATTATTCCTTGTCTGGCCTACAGGTGCTTTAGATAGCTTGACCCTCCTCCTCTCTGTGGCAGCCCCTCACACATTAGAAGACTGCTATCATGTCTCCCCTGGTCCTTCTCTTCACTAGACTAGCCATGCCCAGTTTCTGCAACCGATCAGTGGCCCTGGCCTCCACTTCTTCCAATATTGTTTCCATGGAAAGAAGAAAAGAACAAAATTCAGATGTTCACTGAAGGGAAACTTCTGAAAGTTATATAGAACATTAAACCAAACACCGAACTCCAAATCCTTTACCTATTGTCTGGAGGATGCCTCCTGTGCTGGCACACACCTTCTGGGACACCAGTGGCAGGAGGGATGCCAGGATTTTAAAATCAGTAACATAGAAGGAATAATCTTCTGTGGGTGTGGAAGCCACTCGGTCAAGCTCCTTTCGGTCTGCATTTTTGATACCTGGGTGAAGGAGACAGAAAAGAAGCACTCTGCTTCAGCTCCAAACCTCCTTTAAACAATTGCAATATTCTTGCAGTAGTCAGTCTTTTTCACACTGGGAGCCACTCTCAGAATGAGCTGGATTTTGATCACCAAGGTAAGTTTTGCTAGTATTTAAATTGAGATTGAAAAACTGGCATACTTAGACATTTTGGATTTCACTCCCATCAGCCCCTGGCCAACTTCACCAAAAGAAAGAAATATGGAAGCCTTAAGCCAAATATATGGAGGCTTCCTGAAGCTATAAACCTGATTTAACCCTTATAATTTGGAAATATACTATAATCTGAGTTCCCCGGAAGGGCATATCTTTTGCATGCACTTCAGTACCCAATGTCTTTAGATAGGGCTGAGAAAAACTCTAGCCTATTGCCCTACAGAATAGTTGAGACCAGTTAAGCTCTGCCAGTTCTTGTCCTAGTTGTTTTTAATCCAAATATGCTAAATTTCCACCACAGAAACTTAGTAGAAAACAGTAATAGTTGCTCCAAGCTCTCTGGGGAGACATTTTGTCCTCCTTCAAAAAAATGCTTGGGGAATACTGGAAATCTTTTATGGTTTTGCTAAGAAAAATATGCTTCCACACATATATTATACACAAACATCTCTAATCTGAGATCCATTTTAGGCCTATGCTTTTCTTAGACAAATGCCAAGAATGCATGTAATTTTCTTGCCCTGCCCTTTGAGATTTCTTCAGTGGGCAATACATTAAAAAAAATCATGGAAAAATAGGAAAAGAGGCATTATTAAAGATATTAAAATGGCAACGTCTTCATAATCAGGGTGGTGAGATGAGTATCTTGCTTGATGAAGAAATGTGGAGATTTTGAAAGCCTGTACATTTTTGTGGCTTTGAGTTGATTTAATTAAAGCATTGAGATTTAATAAGAGCATTAGGGATTTCTCCTGCCAAAATAATACTCGTGTTTTCTGTATAACTGAAACTGACATATTCACCTTTATTTTTGACGCACTTCAGTTGCAGTGGTGGAAGAGTCAGGGACTTAATTAAAAAAAAATTAAATTCTAATCTGGAAAAATATCTTTTTTTATCAAGAACAATGCACTAATAAACAATTGCTTTCTGTAATAGTTAGCCTGAGTGTTGCATTACAGTTGTATAACTGAATTCTCAGTTTACAAGTGCAGACTTCCCCAGGCTTACTGGAGGCATAAGCAAAGTCTGATTTAACCCTTGTAATTTCAAAAGATACTATAATCTGATTTAAGAGGGGAGTGATTCCAGGATTAATAAACCTAGAAGGCCCATCCCGTGCTTGCAATGTTCTCAATTTTACCTAGCCCTAATCTGGCAAGTAAGAACTAGTATATGCATTTCACGTACCACCCATCCAATATGTTTTTCTTTCAGCAAACAGTTAACAACAAGGGGGAGGTGATGAGAAGTAGTGACTGGTGCAGGGGGAGAAAGTCCCATTAAATTGGTCCTTATTTGATATCCATCCTACACTGCAAGATCACTCACCCACTGCAAAGACTTTAATGCCTTGATTCTTCAGTTTTAAGGCTGTCTGCTCAACTTCATCCTGAGACTTTCCATCAGTAATGAGAATACAAATCTAAGGAGGAGAAAATGCAATTCTACATCATACAAATGTCCAAACAAAGACTTAAGCTCAATTCTTTTTGAAGAACAGCTCAGCGTATGCTCAGCCTGACCATCTACAGTTAGATGGCTGATGCAAAAATAAAGATCAGGATTGCTAAACACATTTCTGGAAATCTATACCCTTATTTCAGAACACTAGTAAGAGTTATTATTTAATATTGACCCATTAACAATATATAACATTTAAATGTCCCTTATGGAACATTTTGCTTACATTACATGAAGCTAGAATAGAAAAGGCATTCCTCATACAGCCCTTAAAGTTCAAAGAAGTTGAGGTTTAAGTGCTATATCCATTCAGCATTCAGGGAGAAACAGGTCATACTTCTACTGACAAACATGATTTTCAATATTATAAGAGACTAAAAAATGGCTGTCAGAATTGCCAAAATCTGTAAGATTATGCTCAGGATTCTCTGGCCATTCCCTTCTCTTTCTGCTGAGATAGGAAAAGTTTTCACAGTACCTTTGGAACATTAGGCCGGAGCTGATTGGCTCCAAATAAGTTATCTACTACGTAACGCAGGCCTGCTCCTGTGCGAGTATTCCCACCCTTGAAGGCTATCTCTTGGACAGCCCGTATCACTTCCGTTCCGTTGAGAAAGTCTGAGAATTTGAACTCAGTCCTGGAATCAAAACAAAATTTAAAATAATTAAGCAGAAGCAAGAGCAGAAACCACACTATTAGTTGAAAGTCCACCAGTTGAGAGGAAGTATTTCCCAGAATACTGCTCCATAACCAATTTTTGTCATCAAGCAGTTGTTGTTGTTTTTAAAAAAATCAATCTCAGGGAAACTTTTTGGGAGCTTTTCAATGTTATAAATAGAGTACTTGGCTCACCTAACAAGCAGTTATGTCATGAATTCATGAATTCAATTTTGTTTGCCTTTAGAGTGAACATGAATCTCAAGAATATGTACAAGACACACACACACACACACACTGCAGCCCTTTTGTGTCCAGCTGGCAGTACTTAACAAGTTACTCAATGCACATCTTCTAATCAAATAGGTTTACTCTGCAAATAGAGAAAAGAAAGGGGATAAATCTTTCTCTTTCTCTTGAGAACTACAGGCTGGCTATCTTGAGAGTCACCCTTTAGGAACTGGAGGCTAAAACATAATGAAAAACTGTTGCTGGAATTGGCTATGTCTAGTTTAATGAGAAGAAGGACTACATGGGACATGAAAGCAGTGTTCCGATATCTCAGGGCTTGCCACAAAGAAGAGGGAGTCAACCTATTCTCCAAAGCACCTGAAGACAGGACAAGAAACAATGGATGGAAACTAATCAAGTAAGGAAGCAACCTAGAACTAAGGAGAAATTTCCTGACAGAACAATTGATTAGTGGAACAGCTTGCCTTTAGAAGTTGTGGGTGGTCCAACACTGGAGGTTTTTAAAAATAAATTGGACAATCATAGGCTTTCCTGTCTGAGCCAGAGGTTGGATTTGAAGACCTCCAAGGTCCTTTCCAACTGTGGACCAAACTTGTCGCTTTACGTTACCCTCATGTGATGTCTTGTGAAATTTTTTCCCCGGGGTGGGCGTGGCCTGCACATGATGCAACCGGCCTGTGGGCCGCCATTTTGGCAGCCCTGTTCTAGATGGTTAGAAGTAAATAAGAGTTTTAATTGCAAGTGAAAACTGTTAAAAGTCCTTTGGCATTTGACAAATCTCAGTCTTCCCCAGAATCAGTATATTTTAGGTGCACTGAGTTCAACAGCCAGATTGCATGATACCTGCCATCTGCAGTTTGGGGGAGAGGCAGGCTATCTAATCCACTGAGCATCATATTCCCTATTGTGGCCACCTAGAAGACTCAAAGAACTCTACACACCATGAATGGCAAACTGATTGACCCCCAGCATCCAGTATTTAGTGAAATTACATCTTGGAATTTTATTATTTAATTATCCATTTAATTATCCAAGTCAGTAACACAGCTGTTACTCCAAGACTTTGTCTAAAGTAAGTAACATGAAAAGCAAGTAGATTGGGACTCACCTGGGATCGTCACTGTACTGCACGACTGCATAACGTACCCCGTTCGCACCCACCACATTGATAAAAGGAAGAACCAGTCCTTCCATGAAGGATCGGATCATGCGGAAATTTCCCCTGCCAATGCTAGAGGATCCATCTACCAGGAATACAATGTCAGCCAGGTACACATTGGTGCAGACCACTGCAAGGCAACATCAACTGGTCAGAAGGCTGACTTCATCAGTGGGTCCCCTCCATCCATTTATATTACAGGGCAAAAGAACAGCAGGAGCTGGCTTGGTCTACACGCAGTTAAATACTAGCTCGAGGCTTTAGTCCCACAGAGCCAGACTGAATCACTCCTAGGAAAAAGGTCTACAGTTTCTGCATACTTCATACGTCAAGTCCATAATTTGACCATTAAAGTTATTATACAATAAAAGATGTAGAAAAAGCCTTGGCTTAATAACCACTGTGAGAAGACTACAGATAGTCCTTGACTTACAACCATAATTGGGACCAGAATTTTCATCGCTAAGCGAGGCAGTTGTTAAGTTGCCCCTGATGTTACAAACTTCTTTTTTTTTTTTTGCCATGGCTAAAAAACTTCAGTTGTTAAGTGAATTGTGTCTTAAGCCACTTTTTCAGTGCTGCTCAACTGTTGCTAAACAAATGTTCGTAAATTGAAAACTATCTGAATTCAGGACCAAGGAATCTGAGCTAAGGGGGCATTTTCAGAAAGGGAACTACAATCTAAGACAGATTACAATAAACTTTTTATTCCTTTCTTTCAAAAAGTATGCCAGAATCAAAATCAGGGAATGGAATCTTTTATTTCTGAGGTTTTATTTCTTATTGTGAGAGCCAGTTTGGCCTAGTGGTTAGGCACCAGATTAGAAAGCAGGGGACCGTGAGTTCAAATCCCATTTTAGCTGTGAAAGCCAGCTGGATGACTTTGGGCCAGTCACTCTCTCTCAGCCCAACTCACCTTCCAGGGTGGTTGTTGAGAGGAAAATAGGAGGGGTATTGGATATATTCACTGCCTTGAATTATTTGTTTGTAAAAATAATAAAATTGGGATATAAATGAATAGATAGGTAGGTAGGCAGGCAGGTAGGTAGGCAGGTAGGCAGGTAGATAGACAAAATGTCTGGAAGACATAATTTATGCACAGATACTGAGTTAAGTTCTCTCTTATTGCCAGTTACAATGGAGAGGTGTGGGTCTGGCTTTAAAACAACCGTGAAATATTTTTATTATGGCAAATAAATAAATCCTTCAGTGAAGTTGCAGGAGTTCAGTTTTCACAAGGAGGAAAAATTAATCAAATTATGGACTTATTTCTCTTGCATCCTAGCAAGGAAAC